TTTTTTTTTTCTTTTTCTAATATTGCTTCATTTTATGTTGTTAATTACCTTTGTGTATATCTTTTTTGACATGTAGGATTATTTTGAAGTAATGTACTTTTTTGGGAAAATATGTGAATAAAAAAAAAAATTTAAAAGAAAAAAATAATAAAAAAAAAAAAAAAAAAAAAAAAAACCGCAGTCCTACTATCAAAGAGAGACTGTAAGTACACTTAGCAATCTGGAAATTCGAAACACTTTTATGACGTCGATACAGTTATGGAAATAAAACGTTTTCTGACTGGGTGAGTAATTTATTCAGACGGGTGATCTCGTTCGGGAACAATAATTCCTTATTGGAGTTGGTGAAATGTTTGCGAGCGGGTAACCGTCAAAATTAGAAATGACGCAAAACGTTCCTACAAAAAATCTTATTTTCATCAGATTTGCCACAGTGCGGTCAACTGAATGTATATTATTCAACCACCCTGATCGTTCAAATATATCACAAATACGGGCAAGGTTAGTGAATCAGTGATACGTGATTCGTCATAGTGTCAATTTATATTTAAGAAACGGCACTGTTCATAAGCTGTGAAGCCCCCAATGTATATTTTGATACATTTCAACACCTTATTACATAATACCAATTCGCTGTCACATTCGCACATTGTCCTGTAAAGACTTCAATTTTTTGTATATTTTGTTTCTCTCAAATTCAGTCTAGCTTTCAGAGCTCGGATAGTTCAGAATTCTTTGCCAAACCGACTGATTTTATCAGTTCTCATAGTGACCACAATAACCAGTGGGAAGGGTTGGTATATAATACAAAGTGTTTTAATTATAACAGGATAACATTCGTTTGACTGAGGATCTTATTCGTTTGTCGCGCCAGCAAAATATGACCGGATTCGCAGCAGAGTTAATCATGATCATTATAACTGGCATGGAAGCGGCTCCACTGAAAACACCAACAAAATATGTTATCAAAACTACCAAAATGAATGGAATCGCACAGATTAAAAAAAACCCTGAAAGAATCACCAGCGTAAGGATTTGTTTAACTTCCTTCTTCCAAGCCCACATCGTGATGGGACTGGTACTTTCTGGAAGGTGATTAGTTTTGGGATTTTGAAGGCAGTTCTGTAATGAATGAATTAATTGTCTTTGTTTTGAAGCAATGCAACTAAGCCGAACGTATACAATTATCATTACTGTCACGGGCAGCACAAATGTAAAACCAGCGAACAATCCTAAGCGGGATTTGGACAGTACCGCGGTGAATTCACACACATTCGTTGCATTGACCGGCAACCACCAAAAGTTAGGCAGAAAAGACAGCACGCTGGCCAGCACCGTAATACCTACGATCAATGCTTTGCAACGTATTGCCGTTAGGAATGATGGATACCAGGTTGGTTTCGTAATTCTAAAATACCGATCAACTGCCATGACCAAAAGCAGAAATAGTGAAGCGATCCACAGAAAGGTCAGAAAATATATAAACAATATACATACCCAAATATGACCAAACACATCACTATACATTAATGTGAAAATACCCACAAGTGAATATACGCCTACCGCGCAGCTGCAGAGGGACAGCGCTACTACGAAATGATAACCAGGTTCCAATCCGGATTGACAATCGGGCGTACGTAACACAGAAACTATCACTAATAAGTTGCCGGTTAGTATAACAAAGACCGCCACAAGAATGACAATTAGACAAACGTAATTGAAAATATAGTTGTCGTGGAAATAATCTTCCGTATCGTTCATTGTTGTATTTGTCGTGGTGACGTTGTCGTCCAATAAGATGCTGCTGTTGTTGCTTATCTTCATCATCACTCAGATCGGGCAAGTTTTCAGAAAAATCACGTCCTCAGTCAATCGATTGTAAGGCCAGAACTTTGTCAGCAGTCAGAGCGTGTTCTATAAAGGATAAATTTGTATGATTTATTTTTTCTTCTAGTAACAGTGGAGTAGTTTATATTGAAAAAAAATATCATAGTAACTGCTTTTTATCACATATGTGTTAGTACTAGCTCGATCTGTTTGTTTTGCAAGCAGATTGTTCTGATGATTCGAACACCCCAAGGTAATCTGACAGGTAGTATCTACATACTTACGTCTATGCCTGATATATTTCTTCAGGATCCAGGGGTCTATAAAAGTAAGAATTACAAACAATTATTGCCCAGCGTAATCCATCCATCTAGGTCTTTAAGCAATGTATCACATATTTTCACTAATTACTTTCTCCACACAAAGGTAATTTCTGACATTAAGCTTCATATATATACCCTAAGGTCACAATTTAGATTAAAGGCGTGAAACTTCCTAGGATGACGTCACGGTTAATACAATCCTAATTGCACAATGTCAACGTATACATGTATACCATACATTTTCCACACAATATTCGAGGTAATAAAACGGGCAATGTACATACTGTTACATTATGTCTAGATTGAGAATGAGTTATGTTGTTTGCTTGTTCAGTCAACATCAGGTTGTAATTACACTAGGGAATGGGCGTTGCGATTTTAAAAATACTAAATATCTTCTGAACAAAACATTCTGTCGAGATTCAAGGAATAAAGTATAAAGCACTGGACTTTATTAATCGATTAACAAGGCCCAAAAAGGTTTACAAACAACTAAAAAGTCATATTCCTAGTCCGTTTGTACGTTAATTTTATGGACAAACAAATAACAATAACCACAAGGGTTAATCTAATATAACATGCAGATGAACTGACAAGACGTGACTGGTATTGTTTTTTTAGAACAAAACACGCTTGTTAAACCAGATAGGTATATGCTTATTTGATATAACATGGTACAGTCGATTATAAATCTCGCTTTATGTAGAAAGTTGTAACTTCTGCTCGGTTTCCAATCAATCAAAGTATGACATTGAATAAAATATCAATTTTGAATAAATCAATATCTCGTGAAAAAGAAAACGAAAAATGATTTGTGATATTCCGAACAACAAGTTAAGGAAGTTTTCAGGTAGCACAAAAACACATGAGATGCTAGAATTGATAAGTGGCTAATGAATTCACTAACTACCAAGATTGCTATGTCACTATATTATATCAGATAATCTCAAGAGGCCTCTATCTCATGTAAAGATCGTCTAGTTTTGAAGGGAGAAAACAAACTATCTTTTAAAAAAATAAGGATTTGTACTACACACACGCTTGGACATATTGCTATTGAAAAAATGAGGAAACTGTATAATAGTATGATCATGCAGTGTACACTGACCATATGAATCAAACTCAAATCAAACTCAAAGCTAAAGATGTTGGCACGCAATAGACGAAACTGGTCATGTATTTTCGTCAATCGCAAGTTTAGTTGACTGGAATACTAAAATTATAAATATAAGTGTAAATAAATAGCAACATATGTATATTGTACACGTAATAGAGTACAAAGTACAAACAAATTTACAAACACTTGCAAGCATATTACTAGTATTAGTACATTGTCAAATCAGCAAATGAATGATCCATATGTCTGATTCTTAAATGGAATTAAATAGTTTTCTTGGAACTCTTAATTTTGAATTCGATTATAAATATATTTGTTGATTATGGCAATGTTTGTAAGTGTAGATATAAGTTGGATATTAGGACGAAACCCAAGATATATCAGATATTGTAGGAACTAAAGAAATCTAGGTCGCGTAGAAAACTGTTGAAAAAAACCAATAGACCACCTAGATATCGAGTCCGTTAGATTTAACTTGTTTCATGCAGTAATGTATTAACGGTGGCTATATAATATGTATTAGACGGCATTAAAGAAGTGGAACCAATTTTCAAATTAATTGAAAATTTACCAATTACTAACACATACAATGCTTCACAACTATGTATTTTACCGACAGTATTTGTTGCGATATAGTGTGATAATATATATGTACCTTTTCTGAATCACCGTTCACCTGTCTTCCTCTTCTTGTAATGGTTTCGTTTGTGGTCTTCCTCTTCTTGTAACTGTTTCGTTTGTGGTCTTCCTCTTCTTGTAACTGTTTCGTTTGTGGTCTTTCTCTTCTTGTAACTGTTTAATTTGTGGTCGTTCCTTGCCAAGTGCTGTTTATACCTTGTATTTATATTCTTAGAGAACAAAGGGCTCAGTGATATCGCCGTGTATTTTTTAATTAAAGCTTACAACATTTCAAGGTTTTTGTTCATTCAGGTACCACACTTGAAAATTAATATCACCGTGTTCATTCTTTCAACACGTACACGCCCGCCGGTTCTCTCCGTTGATTAGTTACGTAACAATCTCTCTTGATCTGCGAGTTTTAATCTATTTCGTATCTTAAGTATATAACTACGACATACGTCACTAGTACGTCATCGCAGAGAGGGCCATGTGAGATTGATCAATAAAAAAGTTTCTTTTTCTTATTATTATGATATACACAATACGTTCTTGTGAGTAATCATGCTGTGAACCAGGCACATTACTTGTCTTTAGATTCATAACATAACGTCATTTTTACACTACGTCATTTGCATACTTTGAAATAACCATGATAACGTGATAAGATAGCTTGCTTATGTTTTTTCGAAAAAAAGGAACTATTTTAGGGTGGAGAGGGACAACAGAGCGAGGAGTGAGTCGGGAGAAACATCCGCTCGTTTGGTGACAATGGTCTGGGCGCTGCAGTCAAATAAACAGTCCAGTCTCATCACGATACCTAAATCATCATCTTGGACTCTATGAAAGTTAGCTATTAGATTAGTTATGTTGTTCGAACATTCTGTATATTAGAAATAAATCCAAGTGCACTCGGGAATACGTCTTCTTTTATCTGAGTACTATTACTCCCTTACAGCCTGGTAACGATTTCCGTAGTATCGTTAGCCTACCAACTTAGCAAACTACGATTGCTGAGTTCCTCAAACTCGGTAGATACCCCGACTACAATAAATAAATAAATAAATAAATAAATAAATAAATAAATAAATAAATAAATAAATAAATAAATAAATAAATAAATAAATAAATAAATAAATAAATAAATAAATAAATAAATAAGACGATTTTGTAACTAGAAATAATAAACTACGTGTTCGAAAACACAGAGAACAGAAAATATATAATGCATTTGAACATGCGTGGCGGTAAAGTTAGTAGCTTACTCCGTGGTGACCAAATATCATTTAATCGCAATATCATGATATTACGTCATCATCGATCGGACTTGTAATCCTACTAATGGGCTGAGAACAATGCATTAGTGTGTCCGTGTCTCTCATTTGTAATCGGAGATTACGTAATACCAAGAATTATTTTCGTTAAAGCGACCACATCTGGCAATTAATCGCTCGGTTTCCATGATCACTTTTAATCGGCTATTGTCAATATCGACACACCCATTGATGTAGAACCCCCCCCCCCCCCCTTCTCGTATTTTCCAGTGTTGGGAACTTCTCGGAAACCGTTGTACGTAGTGATAAGATTTTGTTTCAGGAGTGTTGTGAATTCTGGTATTGGAATATGGGTCAGACCTAAAAGCATTTTTTTTATTTAGGCAAATATGCATAATGGCAGGTTTTATAACTCAATATCTGGTAGGTGGTAGGTGTATTGTATTGGTAACCGTTGCGTTGATAATTCTCAGAGATAAAAATGTGTCAGGAGTAATGGTTAATGTTACTAATTTTTGAATAAATGTGTGGTAAAAGTTAGTCGTTGGTGTGTGTTAAGTGATTGTGATGTGAATTTGTGAATAGCGGGCAGTATTGTGCAATTTATAGGCGTGTGTGGTGTTGAGAACAGTGTTGAATAATTATGTCTTTTCTTTTTATTTTATAATTTTGAGAAACAAATGCATAAATGTTTTCTTTTTTTGCTGGGAAGTCACATGTTGATATATGACTGGTACATGCCTTGCTGATCTCAGAGGCAGTGTAAATTCGAGTCCCTGGGCTGTGCATTCAGCAAGGTGGAATCTTTTGTTGAGATGAATAGCAGTCTAGTGTACGCGGTAATAAAAATGGCCAGCTCACTAAAAAAAAGAAGACTACGACTAGGTGGTAAAGCTCAATACAGGCGATGATTTTAGTAGTGGTGGTGGTTATTGTGACGGATAAAATGTAGTGGGTAGTTTAAATTTGACGGATAAAATGTAGTGGGTAGTTTAAATTTCAAAGACGCCTAAGCCAAATAATGCCGATATAACAAAGGAACGTGATATTGTCTAAATTGCCCCTGTTTAACTCCTTCGGAAGTACATTGAGTCTAGCCGGTTCTGCCGAAAATTACCAATAACAATACAGTCGATCTGTTGTGCATGTGAAATTCAAAATAGGGGTAATTTGGTTTCTTATCTATTTATTTGATTTGTATAATGAGTCAAACAATTCTCCGTGAGGAATCCGTTTACTGACAGGCAGTTATTTGAAGCAGTACTGTTGTTTCACCATTAGGGTGCACATCGCCACCAGGTGTCAGTCGTATAACACTATTCACATTGTGTATTTCACAAATTGTGGCCATGAATTTGACAATAAACATTTGGAGGGCATTGACAATATATTTAGAAATGTCTAATAATGAACAATCTGTAACGTGTGTTTTGAAGCTAGAATTACCAACACGCGCATTGCTATTTTATTTGAGTTAGAGGGGGGGGGGGCTCTTCGAGCATGTATTGTATTGCATCACTGTGTATGTCGTGTATGGTTTTCTGAAATGACAGACGAGAGGACAGTGGTGATTATGTAAATATTTTATTTCATGACACTCAATATTCCTTAAACTGTGCAAATTGAATAATTACGTCATTCGGTAAATTTGTCAAAACAACATAAGATACAAACACTCTAATTAACAGATTGACAAAGACTAATTGTTCAAAAATAAGGAAGAATATTTTAGAAAACTGTTGCTTGGCAAAAAAAAAAAAA